AAAAAGGCACAGGTATATATAATATAATTATCAAATTATATAGGACACGAGGGCGGAGGACACAAGAGCGGAGAACACGATGGCTCAGGACACAAGGGCAGTACTCTTCCAAAAATGGGGGAAACGATTACACTCACATTAACTTACAATGGTTAATGGTTATATATATTAATACTATAAACATGGTTAATAGTTATACATAAAAAGTAGGTACACTTATAAATAAAAGTTGAAATAAAATTGTGTTACAAGTGTATTACTATTTACTAGTCCTATCATATTATAAGGATTAAGGAGTGCATTTACTCAGTTGAAATGCAGTCTTTAGTTTGCTCACAGAATGAAAATTGTCCCATACTCCAAGGTAAAGGTTGAGTGTTAAGAGTATGGATGGTCATGACGTTATAAGGTTATAGTATGGTGTCGAGATAGCAACACAATTAAAAAGTTTTAAAGGTGTTTATAAGGTCTCACTATTAAGTGGTCGCACGTGGAAACTGGACAGCTATTACTGGCTAATAGCTCTAACTGCCCTCTGTCTGCACTTGTGGATAAAGTAACCACAGCATAATACCTTTAACACTAACAGTGCTTTAATGGCTATGAGAAGTCTGCCTATGACAACAAGTACTTTTTCCTCCTTATCAGTTTACGTAATGAGATGTACTCTTAGCTATGATGATAAGATCACCATACAGAGAGGTTATAGTCACCTTCCCACATCACTACTTCACTACTGCACTCATTAATAATTATTGCTAATTTGTGACTGCTAATTTGTGACTGCTTTACTTCCATCCACAGCAGTTTACAGGTACAGTCCCGAGCATTAGGTCGTAATTTACATGAGAAATAGATCCACGCTTGGGTTGCGATTCATATGACCAAATATAGAATAATTGCATGTCTTGTGATGGGCCCATTTTGCAAATTCGAATAAAAGGCTTCAGAACCAACAGAACACAACGGCAAAATTAAAATGAAACTGAAGCTTTGAAACAAGTTCTGGCCGTTATAAAAACTGCAGAATTGAACATCTGAAGTTTCCATAATAGAATGACCATCTCAATTTTATTATGAATTGCGTGAACTTATCAAAGGTATTGTACTCAAGAAGCATGATCTGAATTAGGACGTTGAAAAATTTGTGTTCTATTTGTCTTATTGATAATAGTTCAGAAAAAATAAATCAATTTCATCTCAGCAAAGTCGCCAAGAATTCTATTATTTGACGAGGTAAGTTCGGTAAATAAATAATTAAATCTTTGGGACAAAACAATTTTAGAAATAGACTAATAAACCAACAAAATTAGGTTAGACGAGGCAGCTGATTGAAAAGTAGTTATATTATATTATCTTACTATATATAAAGCGAGACGATATATATATATATATATATATATATTTATTTATCCGTGCCATTTTACTGACACCACGGCATCAACTTTAACACGACTTTCCGCAAAAACCGTAAAAGATATACAACTGAAACTTTTTTGACGGGTCAAATGCTTTAATGGCCTTCAAATCAGCATGAAAAAATAAAAAATTGGCCAAGAAATAGGAGTTTTAGAGCCCAAAATTTGGACCCCCAAGTGGTGTCAAAAACGCGAATTAAATCACAGTGCTGGCAAGCACGACCGGTGCATTTATTGTGGGTATACTATTTTCCTCCTTTACTATTATACCCCCTTTACTATTATACCCCCTTTACTATTATACCCCCTTTGGTACACGTTACAAGCCTCTTTCGTGCACGCGAAGCGTGCACTCCGGCCGGAGGCGGCGGCCGAAGGCCGCCGCCTCCGGCATTAAGACTCATCGGAAGTCGTTCAGCAGATTTATTTTTAGTTCAAAACATTCTAATTTGATGTCAAAGATGACAGGAATAAAAAATAGTTATATTGAGATTTTTAAGAAATTTGCATGAAATACTCGCCAGCACTGTTATACGAAATTCGGTAAAAAACCCAAAATCGCTATATTCAGGTGCCTTAAAAACTATGTTAAAATCGAGTTAGAGATCTGAAATTTTTCAGGGCGTCTAGACGTTGACCAAATCGACTGCAAAAAAAGTTTCAGGTTTCAGGAACATCGGGAAGTGGGTTTTCTAGAACCCCTGTTTTACGACAGATTGTCGTGATATCTATATACATACATATATATATTCAGGGATAGACGCTTTGCCAGTCAATTGTAGCCTGTATTTAATTGTCCATAGATTCAAAAGTATAAAAGATACAGCCATTTCCGACCACAGGTCATGAAAATAATTGTTTACACTTTAGTTTACATTGTATAAACAAATTATTTGACGTCATGAACACCCCTTGATGACGTCATCAAGTTAACCATTTTTAAAACTTGATTTTTGACAAAGTAATAACTTTTAAAAATGATTTTACACCATTAAAAAGTAATTGTATTCAAAATCTGAGGAAATTTTTATCTTAGATAATTGTTCAAGCATTCTGAAAATCTACCGGAAAGTTTTTCTAGCTTGCTCCTTCATAAAGATATTCGTCATTGAAGTTTGTGCTTTTTTGAAGAATTATTTTATAAAAACGTCAATTTTGCGATTTAGTATTCTCTGGTGTTGGGCCATGCCTTAGGTTGTGGAGCTCAGTTCTGCTTCCTATAGGTATAAATTGTGCATTAGGCTAGTTTTAAAGTTAAAAATCGAAAAGTTGCACACGTGAGGACACGCCCAAATTGATAGAAAATTACTGAAATCACTGAAAATTGCTGTTTTTGTCATTTTCTGTCAACTTTAGAGTGCCGTTGTGATTACAGTTCTTCTTGAAATACTTTGAAACTTTGCATGCTTATCAAACTATATATAAAACAATTACATGCAAAAATTTACGGCGATTCAATATTGGATGCGCACGCAACGTCCGCTCAAAGTTTGCACGTGCGAAAGGTGAGAATTTTGCTCATTCGTGATTTCCAACAAATTCTGCTTTGCCATGACAGAACTTGAATGAGTATTAAGTGGCATATTCAGTCAGTGATCGACCGATATGCTTACCTAAACACAAGGAAATGTTTTTAAAGGAAACATTTCGAAACTGTTGAAACTTCCTCCTTATTAATGAAGATATCAGTTTATATTTCGACTTTATAAAGTACCCTGACATTATAATCAAAAAGAGATGATATTTGACCAAAACCCATAATCATGGGTAGAGTGGACCGCTGCCATGGTCTCTCTTTCCCAAACAAAAGGAAATGATATTAATTTGATTGACCGTTCTCAAATGCAAAATGATACCGAGAATGAAATCGGTCGCTCGCTTTTCCCATTCATTTACAATTGTAATAGATTAAGAAGAACTACCCAAAGGCAGCTGTACTCGGCAATAAAGATTCAATAAACTTCAGCTAATTCAATAAGTAATAACTACCACCCTTACCCCGAAATACTAGGTATCGACCCGAACGCAACCCAAAGAGATTTTTACAGCATCTGATTGATGTACCTAATCAATCGAAACTTATTACAATTCGTAAGCCGTGAATGAATGGGAAAAGCGAGCGACCGATTTCATTCTCGGTATCATTTTGCATTTGAGAACGGTCAATCAAATTAATATCATTTCCTTTTGTTTGGGAAAGAGAGACCATGGCAGCGGTCCACTCTACCCATGATTATGGGTTTTGGTCAAATAGGTAATAATTATTTTAGTCTCTTGAGTCTTGACACCACTTTAGGGTTAGACGGGTTCCTGCTAGTTTATTTAATTTCAATTGTATTATGATATTATGTATATTAAATATCATTTAATTAATTTAACAATTGAAATATCATAATTAATAATATATAATTGTAGTCTCTTCTATAACAACGTTTCTGTAATATAAAATGGTCATTACTCCCCGCCTGCAATTATATCGTAAAGATGTCATCATTAAGTTAACTCAAATTTCCTCAACAAGTTATAGACTTCTATTCCGTCTTCTTGACTTATTTTATTTGTTTACAACTAACCGATAACCAATTTCTGGCTGCAAATTATGTATTATTATTATTATTATATAGTAGTCTCATTAAATCGGACAAAATTTAGGGCTCATCCACTCTGAAATTAAAATGGCTGACATATTGTTAACGATATGAGTCGGTTATCATTAATACCCCTGGCCCTGTATAATATTAGTAATTCATTAGGAAGGAGACAGGAAAAACAGGAGGGCAACAAAACTTCTAAATCATTAATATAATATAATAAATAATAATAATAAAATTTGGTAGCTTAAACACAAACTCTAAGCCCAGTGGATAAACCACAAAACTTATGCTCTATTGTGTGAAACAAAGATACTAGATCAAGATAACTATCAAGGAGTGTATGCATAGGACATAATAGCATTAGTCATTTACAATTGCACGTGATTCAGTGAGTGATATTCTGATTTCCAGATTCCATTATCCATTGTTATTGGAACCTCTATTTAGTTGACACTACACATTATTGTGTAGATATACACAATATACGTACGTACGTGCAATATATTATACTGAACTTGGGTAAAATGGACAGATATTGGCAGTGGGCACTGTCGGTCGGATATCGCTGCTTCGAAAATTTCCGACGACGTGAAATTATATCGGCCTATAAAAAGTTAGAAATAAACGAATCCGCTGTAAATTTTCAAATTGTACTAAATAGCAATTACATTTGTCTTCTGATACTGTGGATTCTAAAACGACACTCACTCAGGGTTGCCGGAGCTATGTGATATAATACCATAACGACACTCACTCAGGGTTGCCGGAGCTAAGTGATATAATACCATAACGACACTCACTCAGGGTTGCCGGAGCTAAGTGATATAATACCATAACGACACTCACTCAGGGTTGCCGGAGCTAAGTGATATAATACCATAACGACACTCACTCAGGGTTGCCGGAGCTATGTGATATAATACCATAACGACACTCACTCAGGGTTGCCGGAGCTAAGTGATATAATACCATAACGACACTCACTCAGGGTTGCCGGAGCTATGTGATATAATATTCCTGGTCGGTGAGGATAAGCAGCCTGTGTGCGCAGTCCGGGCTATTCTCGCCGCTAGAAGCAGGTTGGTGAAATCTCTGTTTCATTTTCTTTAACCAGATTTTGGAAATAAAACTGTGAACTATTTTAAAACTATTCAGAAAGCGGACAACCAGAGAAGTGTTCCCTAGTTGCTATTCAGCGATCTGTCCTCTCCATAAGTCATCACATATCTGAGTTAAAATCAAATCACATACCTGCGTTACAATCTGAGTAAAACACAATATATAGGCAATTAAATTATATTGATCCGACTTTAATCGAACAGAACATTAATATTATATATATTCAAGTATATATACTTAAATAAGTATATATGGCAACGTAGGTTCATTGTTCAAAGTTTGTAGCTTAACCTTACCCTCTGTTAATCCAGATAATGTTAATATGAACGTTTCACGTAATGGCGTTTTAGATTGGCTGTACGAAAACTTACCTCTCTAGGAAGTATAAGTCATTTGTTTCTTAATAAAAATATAAATAACTAGTTTATATATAATATAAATAAATACTTTATAATTTACTTACAGGGTATTTAGAAAGCAGCTGTACAGTCATGTTCCCAGACGGTGCTCGTTGAAAGATGCCGCCCCACGTAGCATTAAATCTGTGAGTTATTTACCACTTTATTTACCACTATATTTACCACTTTATTTACCACTTTATTTACCACTTTATTTGTAACTTTATTTACCACTTTATTCACCAGTTTATTGGTCACTTTTCATTGCCACTTCATTTCGCATACTAAAGTGAAACGTAGATAGTCCGAGGTTTCGATACTAGCAAAATATCGAACTTCAGTGTTTACATTTATTATTTCCAGATCAGCGTGATTATATCAAAACCAGTGACGGAAACGGGTGGCCGACAACTCAACCCAATTGAACATAATTCCCACTTACCAATCAGCTTAATTGGTTAGGGTTAGGGTTAGGGTTGGGGTTGGGGTTAGGGTTAGGGTTGGGGTTAGAGTTAGGGTTAGAGTTAGGGTTAATCTAAATGTCTTAATTGGGTTCAGTTGTCCGGTAGCCGACGAAACAATACATTGCACTTATACTACTAGCTTACTGTCGAAAACAATTATTCTGACCTGTTTTTATACACCAGTTAAAACGAATATATTGGAGAGTAAAATAGTAAGCATGCTGTTCAAAAAAAATCACAATAACACAATTAATATTCAACTGTCTGATTAAAAATTAAAACTACAATTAACAGCTGAACCGTCTAGTGGATGTTTGTGTTCCACTGTTCCTTTGATGAAAGGCTAAGTTAGGGGCTACATCCAAACCCTTCCCAATTGGGCTGTGGTATTCCCACCGGTGAAGAAGGATGGGGTGGGGTGGGGTGGGATGGGGTGGGGTTCAGAGGTTGGGTGGGGTGGGGTGGGGTTATTATTCCAAATCCTACCCCTCCCTCTAGACGGTCTACAGTCTAGACCCAGATCCCAAAAATGAGTAAATACTCTAATTCTTATCTTACTACGCTGTTGAAAGTGAAACACCACTGGTTAAAGCTTCATATTCCCTCAGAAAAGCAAGCCCCCAAACACGATAGTGGTACCGGAGTTCGAACCGAGCGTGTTTAAACAGCTTATAGAGTACCTTCACACTGGGGTGTGTACACTGCAGGTACGGGATTTAATTGGGTATTGTAGAGTGAAGGTTGTGTTTTTAGAGGGGCTAAATTTGTTTATAGTATGTATCGGATGGAAGGCTCCAGATTCCAGAATCTATAGATCCTCGATCTGTTCACATATGCCTGCCGGCTAAATGCCAGCTTTATCGGTTTAATTTTGAGCTTGATAGTCAGAAACAACTACCATGACTTCCGGCGATTACATGAATTATGTAATTATGTTGAATTGACAATCGTATTATCATATTGTGTTTATCAGCCGAGAACACTGTTCGGTTTAGTGAACGCGGCTGATCACTACGATGTTGAGGAACTGAAACAAGCCTGTATCAACTTTGTAGGTAAGTTATCTAATAGATTTTGATTACTTTAAGTACTGTATTTAATCTGCCTCTAACTTTCATTCCTCTATACTTTTTTGATATAACATATGACACTGATAAAAATATATCAATAAGATCATCAATGATGTCTTCAATAAAATTACTGGTAATAATTGTTCATCAAGACCCTGCTCAGGTCAGAGTATCAGTACAGATACAGTATGCCACATGCTCTCCAACGCTGACAGATACATTCAATACAAATCTACCAAGGTATTGCACATTTGAAAGTAATTTGCTGATATTATCCCTCTGCTGAAAGTTGGGGCCTTGTCAAACATTCCGTTCACTTCTTGATTAATAAGTTGTGTACAGCATATTTAAGAGATGGGTAAAATGTACATAATCCACGTTATTACACTGAGATATCGCAAGAGAAAGCTACAGTATCATGTTTAACACCATATATGGGATAATAACGTCAATATCATTTACTTTTTGTTATGAAACCGTTTTACTTTCATCGTTAGGTTGATGCACAAGATGTTGGCTGGCCAATTATGCTTACATTAACTTTTTCTTAATGTTAAGTTAATGTAAGCATTAACTCACATTAATAATCATTAAGAATCTAGGAAAGGCAATTTATGGTAGCCACTATTGACACCATTCGAAATAATTGTCTTGCGGTTAAAAGCAACAAGTCCCATCAACACTATACACAGTCCACTAAGTCCCGTCATTATTACAAACAGGTTAAAATCCAACAGGATTTTGTTCTCGTCAGCTAGTTTTACTGCCACCGCCAAACCCACATTCTTCTCCGAGATACATTGAGAGGTCAATGAGGTGGACTCATTCATTGGTTGTACATTATCATTCTCGTTATCTCTTTTAGAGACAATGACATCATCCACTAAAGAAATGATGACGTCATCGTTTGTGGCATTAGTTCCGAAACACATAGCAGATCGGTCACATTGTCCCAGAGTTCCACGGACGATGTCAAGTAGCTCATCTCTCGTACACCCCTCCTCTGATGATGCACACGCCGTTATCTTTACTTCTCTCTCATTCAAATATATCTTGATAATATCTTGTTCTGATGATGAGTTCCTGAAGACAACGAACCCCATATTAGTTGCAAAAGGGTCTAGCTCGCTCAGCTTTGTTGTTCTATTCCAGAACTCCTCCTTATCCCAAGTGTAGATAATATCCTGATCCTCGTTGATACCTAGCAGGGTGATAAGGGGGACTATAGTCTCACTATGAGCGAACCGCAGGGCGGTAGCAGATTCCTCACTCTCAAACTCTCTCAGCACATCCTTCAGTACCACACATGACAGTTCGTAACCAAGTTTGTTAGGATAACTGGATCTGTAGTACTCGTAAAAGTCACGTGAGTAGTCCAACAGAGCGAAGGCTGATCTCGGGATCAGGTCACAAAAAGAAGAGTTGTTTGACTCGGTTGGAGAGACGTGCTCGAAGTTACAGAGGTTGTACAGGCCCTCTACGTCCTCTACTGTTAAAGAGAAACCGGCTCGCTCGGATATGGGATCTAGGACTAACTTCTTGTATTTCTCTGATTTCTGAAGTTTAGTTGCTTCTAATCCTGCGTTCTTCGTCATAGGACAGTTTGTATAAGCGGGACAATTATCCATGAAGCGTAAAAGTTTATCTTCATCTGCACTTTCAATCCCAAGTCCGACAGGCTGAAATCCGTCTGTAGATAGATTTGTAGGTGACGAGAATTGATTAAGGGGACCCATACCTTCAAAAATTCCAAATAAGAAGGAGGCAGCACTTTGACTTGTTCTAAGAATGTGGGTACTCCTGATATGATATTTGGTTGGATAGTAAGGCGGGAAGAAGGCAGGAAACTTCTTTTTGTATCTTTGAGCTAGATGATAATGTTCCAACATCCCTTGCGGCACCAGATGAAGATCTGAAAATAATATGGACGTTTCCAGGTACGTAGCCAAGGAAGCCTCTTGATTCCTTCGTCCTCCAGCAGAATCTTGTCCAGAAACGTCTCCATAAATATCACATGTTTAGCTCCGAGATGTCTACTGCCGTGTCTAGCAATAAGATAAAACCTAGTTGGGACTAGTTGATCACTCCATTGAACTTTAGTTATGTCACCTCGAGAATATTCGTATGGAGTGTGGGTTGAGAAGTCCTTAAATGGTAGTGTAGGGGGGAGGCAGGACAGTAAGACTAAGATAAAAATAAACATTGTAGCACTGTTGTGGTGAGTATGTGGTAGAGATAAAAGTGGTGAGAACTTCGGTACTTGACGTAACCCTGAATAGTGAGACATTAAACAACTGCTCACAAAAAGCAAGATGTAAAGTAAGAAATTGAGAACACGTAAAGATCTTATGTTATGGTAAAGGTAACTTAAAGTAATCTAATCTAAGAGTAGAAATATGTTAACGTTCGTAACTGCGATTGAAGCGCAATACAGGTATACTGAGTGTCCATCGATATGGATAGTTCCTTTTAGCATGCAGTTATTGCAACATAAACAGTAACATGCTCAACATTTATAGAACGTATTAGACTTTATTTAGCAGAACATTTTACAACATAATAATGTAATGGCTAAGCTGAAAATTCGCCAAATTTGCAGCCTTTAGGTACTCTCATCATATCTGACTAGATTATTCAACAGTGTATTGAATAACGTTGCATTAGACAATTGTCAAGTTTAACACAACAAATAAACTACAAAGTGAATGTTTTGTTTGCTGGCTAAGATTTCATTCGGTTGTAATGTGCGGGGATCTGATTATAACACTATATGTTATTGTTTAGGATTAGATCACTTTTATTGTCAAAATATATCAACAAAATTGAGAATATTGGAAACATCAAACCTACAAACTGTGAAATTGAACTGACAGTTTTTGACATTTATAACCTTTTAACAGCAAACAAATAAAATTATATTTAAGTAGCGATTATATTACAAGACAATATCATCACAAATAATGTTACTTTTATAAAACTTTACGAATGTCAGCAAGAATTGTCTTACTTAACATATGTATCTACTACAGAAAACATGACTCAGTTGCACACATAGAACAAGACTGATGAACTATCAAGTTTATATTGAATGTTGTAAAATTCTACACAAGGTAGAATTTAACAATATTTGTGCGCCCTCATCACACTTGTGTCCTTTTGTTTGTAAAGGAGCACAGACAAAGGATAACATCAAAAAAATGTGTGTGATAGTACTGTAGTCAGTCCAGAAACGTACCTGTGTGCTGCCCCCGCAAATATTTTGCCGCCCCGGAAAAATTTTATTGGTTGAAAAGAAAGAAAATAGGTCGGGCCTCCTTTTTGCCGTCCCCCCCCCCCCCAAATACCAAATATTTTGTTCACGTCGACTGAACCTTGAATTGGACAGGATAATACACAAATTGGGCGTTTTTGCTTCGAAAGATACCTGAAATTCGGAAAACAACTTCACAAAACAACGTTTTGTGAAGTACTGTCGGGAAGTAACGTCGCAGTACTTTTGTCGACGAACTGTTGTTTATTTCACATTAAATACTTTAAAGCTCTTAGGGTCAGAATTTTGGAGAGCGCTGCAATGAAGAGGCAAAATTTCAGACTCTTGAATATGACAATGTTGATTCGAAAAATATTTATAACAATCATCAAGAATAAATTATCAAGAATCTAAGAAAGGCATTTTCTGGTAGCCACTATCGACATCATCGGAAATGATTTTCTTGCAGTTAAAAGCAACAAGTCCCATCAACACTATACACAGTCCACTAAGTCCTGTCATTATTACAAACAGGTTAAAGTCCAACAGGACTTTGTTTTTATCTGATAGTTTTGCCGCCACCGCCAAATCCACATTCTTCTCCGAGATACATTGAGAGGTCAATGAGGTGGACTCATTCATCGGTTGTAAATTATCATTCTCGTTATCTCTTGTAGAGACAATGACGTCATCCACTGTAGAAATGATGACGTCATCGTTTGTGGTATTAGTTCCGAAACACATAGCAGATCGGTCACATTGTCCCAGAGTGCCCCGGACGATGTCAAGTAGCTCATCTCTCGTACACCCCTCCTCTGATGATGCACACGCCGTTATCTTTACTTCTCTCTCATTCAAATATATCTTGATAATATCCTGTTCTGAAGATGAGTTCCTAAAGACAACGAACCCCACATTAGTTGAAAAAGGGTCTAGCTTGCTCAGCTTTGTTGTTCTATTCCAGAACTCCTCCTTATCCCAAGTGTAGATAATATCCTGATCCTTGTTGATACCTAGCAGGGTGATAAGGGGGACTATAGTCTCACTATGAGCGAACCGCAGGGCGGTAGCAGATTCCTCACGCTCAAACTCTCTCAGCACATCCTTCATCACCACACATGACAGTTCGTAACCAAGTTTGTTAGGATAACTGGATCTGTAGTACTCGTAAAAGTCACGTGAGTAGTCCAACAGAGCGAAGGCTGATCTCGGGATCAGGTCACAAAAAGAGGAGTTGTTTGACTCGGTTGAAGAGACGTGCTCGAAGTTACAGAGGTTGTACAGGCCCTCTGCGTCCTCTACTGTTAAAGAGAAACCGGCTCGCTCGGATATGGGATCTAGGACTAACTTCTTGTATTTCTCTGATTTCTGAAGTTTAGTTGCTTCTAATCCTGCGTTCTTCGTCATAGGACAGTTTGTATAAGCGGGACAATTATCCATGAAGCGTAAAAGTTCATCTTCATCCGCACTTTCAATCTCAAGTCCGACCGGCTGAAATCCGTTTGTAGATAAATTTGTAGGTGACGAGAATTGATTAAGGGGACCCATACCTTCAAAAATTCCAAATAAGAAGGAGGCAGCACTTTGACTTGTTCTAAGAATGTGGGTACTCCTGATATGATATATGGTTGGATAGTAAGGCGGGAAGAAGGCAGGAAACTTCTTTTTGTATCTTTGAGCTAGATGATAATGTTCCAACATCCCTTGCGGCACCAGATGAAGATCTGAAAAATAATATGGCCGTTTCCAGATCTGTAGCCAAGGAAGCCTCTTGATTCCTTCGTCCTCCAGCAGAATCTTGTCCAGAAACTTCTCCATTAATATCACATATTGAGCAATCAGATGTCTACTGCCGTGTCTAGCAATAAGATAAAACCTAGTTTGGACTAGTTGATCACTCCGTTGAACTTTAGTTATGTCACCTCGAGAATATTCGTATGGAGTGCTGGTTGAGAAGTCCTTATATGGCAGTGTAGGGGGGAGGCAGGACAGTAAGACTAAGATAAAAATAAACATTGTAGCACTGTTGTGGTGAGTATGTGGTAGAGATAAAAGTGGTGAGAACTTCGGTACTTGACGTAACCCTGAATAGTGAGACATTAAACAACTGCTCTCAAAAAAGGTATATATACCTTTTTTATATATAATATATATATTTAACGTTCGTAACTGCAATTAAGGCGCAATACAGATATACAGAGTGTCCATTGATATGGATAGCTCCTTTTAGCATGCAGTTATTGTAACATAAACTCTACCATGTTCAACATTTATAAAACGTTCTAAACTTTATATAGCAGAACATTTTACAACATAACAAACTAATGGCTTAGCTAAAAATTTGCCAAATTTGCAGCCTCAAAGTACTCTCATCATATCAGATTGGACTGTTCAACAGTGTATTACATAAAGTTGCATTGCACAATTGTCAAGTTTATCACAACAAATAAACTACAAGGTGGATGTATTATTTGCTGACTAAGTTTTTATTTGGCTGTAATGTGCGGGGATCTGATTATAACACTGTATTTTTAGGATTAGATCACTTTTATTGTCAAAATATATCAACAAAATTGAAAATATTGGAAACATCAAACCTACTAACTGTGAAACTGAACTGACAGTTTTTGACATTTATAACTGTTTAACAGCAAACAAATAAAACTATATTTAAGTAGCGATTATATTACAAAACAATATCATCACAAATAATGTTACTGATATATCAGTAACGTGAAGTTTTATAAAACTTCACGAATGTCAGCAAGAATTGTCTTACTTAACATATGTATCTACTACAGAAAACAAGACTCAGCTGCACACATAGAACAAGACTTATGAACTATCAAGTTTATAACGAATATTATAAAATTTTACACAAGGTGGAATTAACAATATTTGTGCCCCCTCATCACACTTGTGTCCTTTTGTTTGTAAATGAGCACAGACAAAGGATAACATCAAAAAAATGTGTGTGATAATACTGTAGTCAGTCTAGAAACGTACCTGTGTGCTGCCCCCGCAAATATTTTGCCGCCCCGGAAAAATCTTATTGGTTGAAAGTAGTAGTAAATCTTTCAAAGTACGAAATATCTCTTTAAAAGAGCATCCTAGGCACCTTATAGATATCAAAACGCATAAAAAAGAAAACAAAAACATCAACCATCTTCTAACTTCTTCCATTCCTCCCTATCTAAAGCCAAAAATCTAAGGTCTTCGAAATCAGTCAAATTCTTAAGTCTAATATCAAGATTTCTACTAGTCAAGTCTTTTCTAATAACATCTAATAAGTTTAAACATGGTCTACCCCGTCTCCCTTCCATAAAAATATCAGAATTTATAGCAAATAACATAGAGGTGTATGCTGGTGAGTCTTCCTGTCCTCTTAAGATATGTCCTAACATTCTCCATCGAAACTTAGAGACTCTCACAGACAAGGGAGTGACATAACAACGAGCATAGAGTGCCTCATTAGAAATAACCCCAGTAGGCCATCTGATGTTGAGGATTCTTCGGAGGTGTTTGCGATGAGCAATATCAAGTTCATTCAACGAAGCTAGTGGTGCAGCCCAGGAGTTGCAGTTGTAGAGAAAGAAAAAAGGTCGGGCCTCCTTTTTGCCGTCCCCCCCCCCCTGGAGGCAAAAAAAACCCCAAATATTTTGTTCACGTCGACTGAACGTTGAATTGGACAGGATAATACACAAATTGGGCGTTTTTGCTTCGAAAATACCTGAAATTCGGAGAAATTCCGCCCCCTAAGGGGCCGCCCCTCTTCCGCTTATCCACTGACTGTAGTTTAGTTCAGTACATACTTCAAATTACTGACAGTCTGTTCGATTAAACTAACGTTGCACAAAGTCGTGAAGTGCTGTCGAAAAGTAGTGTCGCAGTACATTTGTCGACGAACTGTTGTTTATTTCACATAAAAGACTTAGGGTCAGAATTTTGGAGACCGCTGCAATAAAGAGGCACAAGTTCAGACTCTTAAATATTACAATGTTGATTTGAAAAATATTTATAACAATCATCGAGAATAAATCATCAAGAATCTAAGAAAGGCATTTTCTGGTAGCCACGATCGACATCATCGGAAATGACTTTCTTGCAGTTAAAAGCAACAAGTCCTATCAACACTATACACAGTCCACTAAGTCCTGTCATTATTACAAACAGGTTAAAGTCCAACAGGACTTTGTTATCATCTGCTAGCTTTGCCGCCACTGCCAAATCCACATCCTTCTCCGAGATACATTGTGAGGTCAATGAGGTGGACTCATTCATCGGTTGTACATTATCATTCTTGTTATCTCTTGTAGAGACAATGACGTCATCCACTGTAGAAATGATGACGTCATCGTTTGTGGTATTAGTTCCGAAACACATAGCAGATCGGTCACATTGTCCCAGAGTGCCCCGGACGATGTCAAGTAGCTCATCTCTCGTACACCCCTCCTCTGATGATACGCACGCCGTTATCTTTACTTCTCTCTCATTCAAATATATCTTGATAATATCCTGTTCTGATGATGAGTTCCTAAAGACAACGAACCCCACATTAGTTGCAAAAGGGTCTAGCTCGCTCAGCTTTGTTGTTCTATTCCAGAACTCTTCCTTATCCCAAGTGTAGATAATATTGTCCTGATCCTTGTTGATACCCAGCAGGGTGATAAGGGGGACTATAGTCTCACTATGAGCGAACCGAAGGGCGGTAGCAGATTCCTCACTCTCAAACTCTCTCAGCACATCCTTCAGTACCACACATGATAGTTCGTAACCAAGTTTGTTAGGATAACTGGATCTGTAGTACTCGTAAAAGTCACGTGAGTAGTCCAACAGAGCGAAGGCTGATCTAGGGATCAGGTCACAGAAAGATGAGTTGTTTGACTCGGTTGGAGAGACCTGCTCGAAGTTACAGAGGTTGTAAAGACCCTCTGCGTCCTCTACTGTTAAAGAGAAACCGGCTCGCTCGGATATGGGATCTAGGACTAACTTCTTGTATTTCTCTGATTTCTGAAGTTTAGTTGCTTCTAATCCTGCGTTCTTCGTCATAGGACAGTTTATATAAGCGGGACAATTATCCTTGAAGCGTAAAAGTTTATCTTCATCCGCACTTTCAATCTCAAGTCCGACAGGCTGAAATCCGTTTGTAGATAGATTTGTAGGTGACGAGAATTGATTAAGAGGGCCCATACCTTCAAAAATTCCAAATAAGAAGGAGGCAGCACTTTGACTTGTTCTAAGAATGTGGGTACTCCTGATATGATATTTGGTTGGATAGTAAGGCGGGAAGAAGGCAGGAAACTTTTTTTTGTATCTTGAGCTAGATGATAATGTTCCAACATCCCTTGCGGCACCAGATGAAGATCTGAAAAATAATATGGTCGTTTCCAGGTCCGTAGCCAAGGAAGCCTGTTGATTCCTTCGTCCTCCAGCAGAATCTTGTCCAGAAACTTCTCCATTAATATCACATATTGAGCAATCAGATGTCTACTGCCGTGTCTAGCAATAAGATAAAACCTAGTTTGGACTAGTTGATCACTCCATTGAACTTTAGTTATGTCACCTCGAGAATATTCGTATGGAGTGTTGGTTGAGAAGTCCTTATATGGCAGTGTAGGGGGGAGGCAGGACAGTAAGACTAAGATAAAAATAAACATTGTAGCACTGTTGTGGTGAGTATGTGGTAGAGATAAAAGTGGTGAGAACTTCGGTACTTGACGTAACCCTGAATTGTGAGACATTAAACAACTGCTCACAAAAAAGGTATATATATATATTTAACGTTCGTAACTGCAATTAAGGCGCAATACAGATATACAGAGTGTCCATTGATATGGATAGCTCCTTTTAGCATGCAGTTATTGCAACATAAACTCTACCATGCTCAACATTTATAAAACGTTCTAAACTTTATATAGCAGAACATTTTACAACAAAACAAACTAATGGCTTAGCTATAAATTCGCCAAAGTTGCAGCCTTAGAGTACTCTCATCATATCAGATTGGACTGTTCAACAGTGTATTACATAAAGTTGCATTACACAATTGTCAAGTTTATCACAACAAATAAACTACAAGGTGAATGTATTGTTTGCTGACTAAGTTTTTATTTGGCTGTAATGTGCGGGGATCTGATTATAATTTATAACACTGTATTTTTAGGATTAGATCACTTTTATTGTCAAAATATATCAACAAAATTGAGAATATTGGAAACATCAAACCTACAAACTGTGAAACTGAACTGACAGTTTTTGACATTTATAACTTTTTAACAGCAAACAAATAAAACTATATTTAAGTAGCGATTTTATTACAAAACAATATCATCACAAATAATGTTACTGATATTTATATATCAGTAACGTGAAGTTTTATAAAACTTCACGAATGTCAGCAAGAATTGTCTTACTTAACATATATGTATCTATTACAGAAAACATGACTCAGTTGCACACATAGAGCAAGACTTATCAACTATCAAGTTTATAACGAATATTATAAAATTTTACACAAGGTGGAATTAACAATATTTGTGCCCCCTCATCACACTTGTTTCCTTTTGTTTGTAAAGGAGCACAGACAAAGGATAACATCGAAGAAATGTGTGTGATAATACTGTAGTCAGTGGTGGAACGTACGTCTGTGCTGCCCCCGCAATTTGTTTGGTTGAAAAGAAAGAAAAAAGGTAAGGCCCCCTCCCCCTGGAGGCAAAAAAGACCCCAAATATTTTGTTCACGTCGACGGTACGTTGAAATGGGCGTTTTCGCTTTGAAAAATACCTGAAATTCGGAAATATGCCGGCCCCTCCTCCGCATAGCCACTGACTGTAGTTCAGTTCAGTATATACCTTACTATATACACATATCAAGTTTATCTTCCGCCACAAAAATGAAATTAGGAATATCTTTATTCGTGTAACGCCCGCGGCCTGTTGTGAAATTCAAGTTTTATAATATTAGGTTACTATTTGTTAGACATAAAGTGGAAGATAAGTAAATTTGGAGTGTCACTTGATAAGCAGCTGATAAGAACTGTAGTTGCTGAAACTTACTAAACCTTAAACCGTCAGTTTCATATTACAGTCTGTTCGATTAAACTAACGTTTCACAACGTTTCGTGAAGTACTGTCGGGAAGTAACGTCGCAGTACTTTTGTCGACGAACTGTTGTTTATTTGACATTAAAGACCTTAAAGCTCTTAGGGTCAGAATTTTGGAGAGCGCTGCAATGAAGACATGAAGAGGCACAATTTCAGACTCTTAAATATTACAATGTTGATTCAAAAAATATTTATAACAATCATCAAGAATAAATCATCAAGAATCTAAGAAAGGCATTTTCTGGTAGCCACTATCGACATCATCAGAAATAATTTTCTTGCAGTTAAAAGCAACAAGTCCCATCAACACTATACACAGTCCACTAAGACCTGTCATTATTACAAACAGGTTAAAGTCCAACAGGACTTTGTTTTCGTCAGCTAGTTTTGCCGCCACCGCCAAATCCACATTCTTCTCCGAGATACATTGAGAGGTCAATGAAGTGGACTCATTCATCGGTTGTACATTATCATTCTCGTTATCTCTTGTAGAGACAATGACGTCATCCACTGTAGAAATGATGACGTCATCGTTTGTGGTATTAGTTCCGAAACACATAGCAGATCGGTCACACTGTCCCAGAGTGCCCCGGACAATGTCAAGTAGCTCATCTCTCGTACACCCCTCCTCTGATGATGCACACGCCGTTATCTTTACTTCTCTCTCATTCAAATATATCTTGATAATATCCTGTTCTGATGATGAGTTCCTAAAGACAACGAACCCCATATTAGTTGCAAAAGGGTCTAGCTCGCTCAGCTTTGTTGTTCTATTCCAGAACTCCTCCTTATCCCAAGTGTAGATAATATCCTGATCCTTGTTGATACCTAGCAGGGTGATAAGGGGGACTATAGTCTCACTATGAGCGAAGCGCAGGGCGGTAGCAGATTCCTCACTCTCAAACTCTCTCAGCACATCCTTCAGTACCACACATGACAGTTCGTAACCAAGTTTGTTAGGATAACTGGATTTGTAGTACCTGCTCAGATCACGTGAGTAGTCCAACAGAGCGAAGGCTGATCTCGGGATCAGGTCACAGAAAGAGGAGTTGTTTGACTCGGTTGGAGAGACGTGCTCAAAGTTACAGAGGTCGTACAGGCCCTCTACGTCCTCTACTGTTAATGAGAAACCTGCCCGCTCGGATATTGGATCTAGGACTAACTTCTTGTACTTCTCTGATTCGTGAAGTTTAGTTATTTCCAATTTTGAATTCTTAGTCATAGGACAGTTTGTATAAGCGGGACAATTGTCCATGAAGCGTAAAAGTTCATCTTCATCCGCACTTTCGATCTCAAGTCCGACAGGCTGAAATCCTTTTGTAGATAAATTCGTAGGTAACGAGAATTGATTTACAGGACCCATACCTTCGAAGATTCCAAATAAGAAGGATGCAGCACTTTGACTTGTTCTCAGAATGTGGGTACTCCTGATATGATATTTGGTTGGATAGTAAGGCGGGAAGAAGGCAGGAAACTTCTTTTTGTATCTTTGAGCTAGACGATAATGTTCCAACATCCCTTGCGGCACCAGATGAGAGTCCGGAAAATAATATGGACGTTTCCAGGTACTTAGCCAAGGAAGCTTCTTGAAACTTTCCTCCTCCAGTAGAACTTTGTCCAGAAACTTCTCCATAAATATCACATGTTTAGCTCCGAGATGTCTACTGCCGTGTCTAGCAATAAGATAAAACCTAGTTGGGACCAGTTGATCACTCCATTGAACTTTAGTTATGTCACCTCGAGAATATTCGTACGGGGTGTGGGTTGAGAAGTCCTTATATGGCAGTGTAGGGGGGAGGCAGGACAGTACGATCAGGACAACAATAAACATTGTAATTTGTAACACTGTTGTGGTGAACACCAAACAAATGTACAACGTGGTTTTGAGAAGTGGGGTAAAAACTTTGGTACTTGGCTTAGCCCTGAATAGTGAGACATTAAACAAGTGCTCACAAAAAGCAAGGTGTAAAGTAAGAATTTGAGAACACGTACTGACCTTACGCTGTAGTAAAAGTAAATGAAAATAAATTAATCTAGGAATAAAAATAAGGTAGGTTATAGAACTCCTGAACTCCAGTATCAAATCAGTCCTTCTCGCCGGCTAAAATTGGTCACGTTATCTATCAACTGATTGTACCTCGTGATTACGTCACGAACACGTGCCCGACGAACTGGTGCCGCACCATAAGTTCACGTTTCTACCATAGATAACATGTCTCAACATAGGACAAGAACTAGGAACATATTCTATATTCAATAGAGCAGAACAAGGAAGGGTTCGATGTTTGTTGCGCCTCATCAAAAATGTGTACTTGTTTTGTAAAGGACCGAAGACAAAAGAGAAAATGAAGAGAATGTGTATGATGATACTGCATTTCAGTTCAGTAATACTACTATATATACGCACCAAGTTTATCTTCCGCCACGAAAATGAAATTAGGCATATCTTTATTCGTATGACGCCCGCGGCCTGTTGTGAAATTCAAGTTTTATAGTATCAGGTTAAAATTTGTTAGACATAAAGTGGAAGATAGATAAATTTGGAGTGTCACTTGATACGCAGCTGATAAGAACCGTAGTTGCTGAAACTTTCTAAACCTAAAACCGTCAGTTTCAAATGACAGTCTGATTATGATTATTAGATACATTCTTTATAATTGTATAAACTGTAATATTTGACTGGTGCATTAAGTATAACATTGTGTCCCTTCTTTCTTGTAGGTTATCAACAGGTAGAACATGGAGTGATCATAGCTGGGTCCAATTTAGACAAATTAATTAACTAATTAAATTAATCGCTTTTCTAGAGGCTGTTGTTTTTAAATACAACAGTATACGAGAACAGAGTAGAATAAGTGCACAAGTGCAACAAAAATGTCATTGTAAGTATGTGGTTTATTCAATATTAAATATTGAATAAACCGGTGACCACAGAAGCGTGAAGTCCTCTCCTCACTGAAGCGGAAAGCTGCTGAACAGCCCTTGTCGGTGACCCAGAACCTCCTCTCTGAAGTTGACCCAGAAATGTTTGCCGGTGATTTATATTTTGACTGGAGATAAGAAAGGGGACACTTATCAGTATATTTTTAATGTGGCGAAGTTCTATTTTGACCAGCATTGTCCGGTAGAAACTGCTACAATTATGATTGATTTTGAGAAAGCTGTAATGAATGCGATTCGGATTGCTCTAGCAAGGTTGACTATTTGTTTAAGATTGCCAAATACTTTGGCCATTAGATTGATGTCGAGTAAAGTATTCTGTATATAATTATTATGTTGAGTTTGAACTATCATTATCTTGAAAAAAAAATCTTTGTCTTAATTAGTACAGAAATATATACAGCACAGCTGTGAAATCAGTGGACACCTGAATGTTAAAAGTATCTCCAGAGGTTCCCAGTTGTCGGGGATATAATGTAATGATTGGTTCCCAGTTGTCGGAGCTGATTGGATTTCCCAAGCTTGCATGTTAATTAGTTAACTAGGTTAAATTGACAGGTTCTCAGTTGTCCGTCAGCCGAATAAACTATAACTATATTGCACTGTAGCACTTGTAGCACTTATTGCTCTGTACACAACATATTATAACTGCTGTTAAAAGTGCTGTTACAAGTGATATAGCTGTATTGGATTACCAGTTCAGTGATTTAGCGCACCTGCAAGGAAATATTTTACAACCTATTATAGTATAAATAGAACTTTTACTCTACTCAGCTGGGTGGAGAGCAGGAGCGTGGCCCACAGCTGATTCTTGATAACGTGAGACGACCAGCTTCCGTTCGGACCGTCGGATTGGTGGCAGCGGTCCCTTCGGCCGAGACGATACTGATGCATCTCATGTCTGGCCAGAGGGGAACGCAGCAATATCGTCTCGGCCAATAGGACCGCCGCGTCCGCTCCGACAGTCCGGACGGAGCCGGTCGTCTCAAAATCAAGAATCTGGGCTGTGGGCCACTAGTAAATGCTCTGCACCTCCTTTTGAACAAATGCGACCTATACCATAATATACTATAATTGTAGACTATAATTTATATTTATTTGACTAGCGATTAGCGAAACTTACTAACATTGAAATATCACTGTTCAAGTTTAATAAATAACTAACAAGAAAAATGTATGTTACTTTCTTAGCTTTCTAGCCTTGACATCTTTACAACACCAACGAAGATTTAAACTTAAGATTGGAATCCTACTAGATCAACTTTTGTCCAGAACACTATCTCCATGTAGCGTTACTGGAATGTTTTTTCACTTACCAAAAATGGTATCTTTCCCGTTCTCATTTAATAAATTAGAATAATATATGACTGGCTTATTTGTCATAGCTATCCTATAAATACCACTACTGCTACTACTATTACTAGGCTGGCCTCGTTCTGGTATCTTAGAATGTCTTCCCTGGACTGCAATAACTTTATCTTTGTTTAAAATTCGATCACAGTAATAAAATCACTCGTTTTGGTTTAGTAACAACTGTACTTTTTTATATTATGGACGATTAGGCAGCACTGCCAGCGAAATTAACATCGAACTTTACGTTAGCCGCGCTGCCAAATTTATACGATAACGTGATTATTTATTACGAAATTGTTTCGGACGCGCGCAGCAATAATAGTCAATACCGTACCGGCCCGACCAGTCACAATACTGTGTAAAATTTAGCACCAACGAATTGTAGCAGTTCTGAGAAACACGAATTCTTCAAACTAAGGAATTATAATACTGAATATTTCAGGTGCTCATCCAAAAGGTGATGGAATTTATAGACCGGAACGGTGACGAAGTTCTGAGTCTTCCCTCATTCTCGATTTTGCCAAAGCACGTTGTGCAATTGATCATATCTAGAGAAAGTCTCGCTGTTTCAGAGGTTACTTTTAATTTTTTAAACAGTCCTATAAACTGCACATAATCTCTATATATAATTTTTGCCAGAGTTTTCCATTAGTAACCACAAAATTCGCTTTTTTAACGGTTCATTAGTTCTATTTTATAAAAGATTCAACCAATGTTCTTCACATGTTCGTTGTGAACGCTAAGAAGTTAGTCGCACAAATTCTGTACAGTGTACATGAATTTGATTACATTTGGTATGTTTTAAAATTTGTTTATTTTAGGTTAACAAGTTTGTAGCAGTATACAACTGGAGTAAATCTCAGTATGAAAAGGAACGATGTCTACCTCTCAACTGCGACGAAAAAGGTGACATTCTAGTATACATACAAGTAGACTTATTCGTTTATGAGATCTTAAATAATTTTGTCCTTCTGAGTGTGGCATTGTTGCAATTGATTTCTTGAAGGGTGATATCTTTGTTAGGAATTCAATTTGGATAAAAAAGGGGGGCGGGGGGGGGGGGGGGGGGGGGGGGGGGGGGGGTGGTGGGGGGTCAACGTTTAAAAGGGTGTTTTTAAATATTTGATATACATACATGGACAGGAGAGAGTGTTGCAATCTTGGGCCTCATCACTTTGACCCTGACAATTGGCTCCACCATATTCAGGGACAGGATTACTGCAGGTTCTGGTCCTCGTCTGGGATCCTCCTCCACATTCAACTGAGCACTCTGACCAATCTCCGAACTCACTCCACCCACCATCAACTGAAAAATCATATGCATAAATAATAAGCTTGGAAAAAGCAAACAGGACACAGGTGGCAAGTTCATGTGAACGTAAGTACCCAATACCCATCTAAACAATGCGAACTGTTTAAAAAGCGTTTAGTTATGAGCCTAATACCTAACATGAAGTACCCAGAAACGTGGTTACGAGCAATTGATTTTTAATCCAAATCATAGTGAATTACCTGGTTGTGGTTGAGGTCTGTAAAAGTCTGCTGCATTGTCGTTACTGGCGAACGCTATCTTTCCAACGTTTCTGGTCCATTTAGTTTTCCAATAACTGTAACCACACGTTGACTCAGATATCAAGGTGTTGAGCACCTCAATGTCGTTACAGTGTACGACAAGTTTAATATCTGAGATTTTTGTTAGGGTAATTCTCCAGATCTTTTCTGTTGCAGTGGGGGGCTCAGTTGGAAATACGGGAGCCCCTTGATAGCAAAATCCGATATGGTGGAACCAAGCAGATTCAAATTTAAACACAATATTTCCTGCATCCTCTCCCTGAGAAGATCGGAGCAACAGTATCATTTTATGATCACTCCCAGTCACACTATTCGTCTTTATTTCTAGCGGTGTAGTCTGTAGATCGTAATCCACCCATGAATTCCGCTCCACTGCTGTCCAACCTGTTCAATTATATAAATAACCAACAAGTGGGGGGGGGGGGGGGGGGGGGGCAACCATATTAAAGTATATTAAAGTATTATATATATATCCCCGGGTCAAAATCGGAAAAAATCCTACATTTTAATATACTTTAATATACCTACAATTAGAAGATTTATATTCTTCGTTAAGATTTACACGATGAACTATATTTTTCACTCAGATTCGCAAGATAAGCCTGTTTTAGGACTAGTACATGAATTTCCATCCAGATTGGTCAAAAATTGGCTGAGCTATGAGCTTTAAAAAATATGCCCATATTTGGGCATACACTTTTGCCCAAATTCGCTTTTGCCCAAATTCGATAAAATTTCAATATCTTTTAATGAGACTAACTCTACGAGAAAGATATAACTCAGTGTTTGTTGAATATAGTGGATACTAAGTAAAAAGACCTCCATGAACAAAATTGGGAAAATTGCACATAATATCTCGGTTCGGAATACTAGCCAAAATGACTTCATTAAAATTTAAATAACTCCATCAGTTTTCAATATTTTTTCAAGAACTTTTTGGAATCGATTAAGAATTGCATTTCAAGCTTATTTTGGGCAACAATTTTTGATGTAGGCCTCCAAGGAGATAGGGATATATTAAAGTATATTAAAGTATATTAAAGTATATTAAAGTATATCCCCGGGTCAAAATCGGGAAAAATCCTACATTTTAATATACTTTAATATGGTTGGCCCCCCCCCCCCCCCAACAAGTTATGATGCTGAAAGATTAACAGGAAAGTCGTGTATAGTATCATAATTTTGATGATCGTTATAAACTGATAAATATGTTTTAAATGGGCTTCATAACGAATTATGGTTAAACATTTAAAGCATAGACTAGGCAGTTTTGAGATTATCCCATCAATTATGTTGTACAATGTTAGATATGAACTGATTATGATTACAAGCAAAATGAGATAAAGATTCCTGCCATTTGGATGGAGTGTTTTTCTCCAGGATTAACTGATAATTTTCAAGTTCTTACCTTCATCATCTGCAGCTGCACCAGAGAGCAGAAGGAGCACACACAAGATCTTGATTTTGTACTTTATAGCTGTGAAAATCTTCTTGAAAAGCTTGTCCATACGTTTGGTGGTAGCACGAACGTGGTATGAAGGACAGCTTCCACTCAATTTCATTTTATGAAACATTCGAATCATTGTAACTCGTAGAACTAAAAACATACAAAAGGAAGCTGTTATTTTATATTTGTGGCGTGTCGACCTACAACGAGAGCAAATTCTCCACTAACTTTGCGTTAGGTGTTCTGCTTCTGTCACGTGATCACTTGATCAGCGTTAGATATTACAAAGCAACAATTTTAATTTGGCACAGTACGACATATTATGAGAGCAGATATGTCTAACAAGGCAGGTCAATGGTTTGTGCGTGATGTTTGGTTCTTTCTTTCTGGCTCAGAGATTTTGAATAGAGAAATGGGATAAGTATTTCAATGTTTAAATTCTAAAACGCACTAGTTCTAATGAAATAAACAGCAGTTTCTTTGGTGACGAATCAAATAACCATAATGAGGATGTGAATTAACTTGAAATAGACGTTGGTCATAATATGCAGATGAAATAGACGGTTGGACAATGAACGCTTTCTTTCACCTTTTTGTTTGGGGTCATTTACAAATGACAGTAATTCCCTGGTATGGGTTGTCTGTAAACGTTTAGGGTCGGATAAGGTTTTCGGCTGCAGCTGGCCCGGAAACGACCGGGTATTAATCTATTTTCCGTTTTGCCGGATTTTTCCTATGCTCCCCTGGCGAGATATCGACGAAAAACTGTCTCAATCACGAGATATGGCCATATAAGCAATTTGGTATAATTTCACGTTAGGGTTAGGGTTTTAGCGGATGCGTCACTCATGGTCATGGTTAGGGTTAGGGCTCGGGGTCAGAGTAGATGGTTAGAGTAATTCGAATAGTCATACTGGGCCATATAAACATAATGTTAAAAAAGTCACGTGATAGTCGAGTGTTGAGTGATTAATTATCATCCGCTTATTTGTGGGATTTTTATCAACTATGATATTAAGTGCAATGTGGACTAACACAATAACACAGTATTTACAGTCGGACTAACTGTGTTCATGCCCTATTTCAAATTATTTCAACAAATTTTCTACTCTGCGAGCAGCAGTCACTGGTTGATATGTTGTGCGAGCAGAGGTCACTGATTTATCTGCTTTATGAGCAAAGCTACTAGCTAGAAACAAGTTGGAATAAAATCAAAACGTATATTTCAAGAATTCACTGCGCTTTGCGTAGCACAAATATAAAGATTATTCTGGAAATAAAACCAAAAACCCAGCTCTCACAAGTTCGTAGCTTACCGAGGATAATGTCCATCTAATGGCATAGCCATAATGGCATTTTAATTGATTTAATCCTTAGTAAAAGGGAGTTAGCAACGGGTTACAGATCTTACAACAGAGGCCGGGCCCCCGCAATGAAGATAGTCACGATCAAGATGGTCAAGATGCCCTTGGTGCTGACCGCTTTGAACTCTTTAGGAACCCAATGGTTCAACTTCATATTGTCAAGAAATAAACGGAGGCTTTAACACGGCTTCATCTGCAGATCATATAGTGTGAGAGATGTTGAATTGAACGCAAATACAAACAGTTGACCTATAAGATGTGGTTATCCTAAAATAGATCTTGTTCACGGTGTGAGGTGCACGGCTTACTCACGGCTAATGCTACAGATGCTTCGGCTAATGCTACAACAGATGATTTGCGTTAAACCTGGACACGTCCTAGGTTGGACACGCACTAACCATCCACCAATCGTGAGTCTTTAAGGTACGAGATGAGCTAATGGTCGGTTAATTCCGCAAGAGATGTAAGCAAATGGCGAGTGCTGAACTCATACATCAGACGTTTCTAAGAATACTAGTTGACAGTATCCAGAGACAATTCCTTAAATGGTGCTCTACAGTCTACTTGACGAAATAAATATACCCACGGGCCAACATAATAGAAATTGATCGAATTGGAGGGGACAGATTAAGGAGGGGCAAATTCAGAAACAGTCACAAGGTCGTATGCGGAGCAGGATATACCAGCATGTCAATTAATGCTAGTCGTAACCGGTATCCTCAGCACCTTCTTGAAGGGTTGCCACACCCTAGAGGTAGGCAAAGCATCTACATACTATCTTGTCGTGGACAATCTTGATGCAGCCTCTCCGGCAAAATCAAAACGTGTACTGTGGCATTGTTGTAATTGATTTCTTGAAGGGTGATATCTTTGTTAGGAATTCAATTTGGATAAAAAAGGGGGGGGGGGGGGGGGGGGGGGGGGGGGGGGGGGGGGGGCGGGGAGGGGGTCAACGTCTGAAAGTGTGTTTTTAAATATTTGATATACATACATACATGGACAGGAGCGAGTGTTGCAATCTTGGGCCTCATCACTTTGACCCTGACAATCGGCTCCACCATATTCAGGGACAGGATTACTGCAGGTTCTGGTCCTCGTCTGGGATCCTCCTCCACATTCAACTGAGCACTCTGACCAATCTCCAAACTCACTCCATCCGCCATCAATTGGACATTGTTGACTGTTGCAATCCTGAGCCTCATCACGTTGGCCCTGACAATTGGCTCCACCATATTCAGGGACAGGATTACTGCAGGTTCTGGTCCTCGTCTGGGATCCTCCTCCACATTCAACTGAGCACTCTGACCAATCTCCAAACTCACTCCATCCACCATCAATTGGACATTCTTGACTGTTGCAATCCTGAGCCTCGTCACTTTGGCCCTGACAATTGGCTCCACCATATTCAGGGACAGGATTACTGCAGGTTCTGGTCCTCGTCTGGGATCCTCCTCCACATTCAACTGAGCACTCTGACCAATCTCCAAACTCACTCCATCCGCCATCAACTGAAAAATTATTTAAAAATTTTAAAATCATTCATGCATAAATAATAAGCTTGAAAATACAGGTTGTCATTTCTCGGTCAGTTGACAATTCTTACAATCTTTACGACTGATGGGGCTGCATGAAGTTTATGTGAACGTAAGTACCCAATGCCCATCTAAACAATGCGAACTGTTTAAAAAGCGTTTAGTTATGAGCCTACTACCTAACATGAAGTACACAGAAACGTGGTTACGAGCAATTGATTTTTAATCCAAATAATAGTGAATTACCTGGTTGAGGTTGAGGTCTGTAAAAGTCTGCTGCATTGTCGGCGTTGTCGAACGCTATCTTTCCCACGTTTCTGTTCCACAATCTGTTCCAACTACCTTCAGGACACGTTGATTCGGATACCAAAGTGTTGAGTACCTCAACGTCGTTACAGTGTACGACAAGCTTGATATACGAGTTTTTTGTTAGGGTAATTCTCCAGATCTTTTCTGTTGAAGAGGGGGGCGCAGTTGGAAATACGGGACTGTCTATATAGCAATAGCCGATATGGTACGACAGAGCGGAATAAAATTTGAACACAATCGCTCCTGCATCCTCTCCCTGAGAAGATCGGAGCAACAGTTTCATTTTATGATTACTCCCAGTCACACTATTCGTCTTTATTTCTAGCGGTGTAGACTGTAGATCGTAATCCACCCATGTATTCCGCTCAACTGCTGTCCAACCTGTTTAATTTTTTAAATAACCAACAAGTTAAGATGCTGAAAGACAAGTTTTAAGGGACAGGAAGTTCATCCATATCGCATAATCTCATAATTTTGATGATCGTTATAAAACGATATATATTCATAGTCTTTTAATGGGCTTCATTAATGATTATGGTCCATCATTTAAATTATAAATAATAACTTAGACAGTTTTTAGAATATTCCATCTAGTATGTTGTACAATATTATATATATATATCATTTTAACAAATAGAATGTTACTGGGAACGATAATTTCCAATTTCTTACCTTCATCATCTGCAGCTGCACCAGAGATCAGAAGGAGCACACACAAGATCTTGATTTTGCTCTTTATAGTTGTCAAAATCTCCTTGAAACGCTTGTCCATACCTTTGGTCGTAGCACAGTCGCGGTACGAAGGACACCTTTCACTCAATTTCATTTGATGAAACATTCGAATCATTGCAACTCGTAGAACTAAAAGCATACAAAAGGAAGGTGTTATGATATATTTGTGGAGTATCAGCCTACAACGAGAGAAACTTCTCCACTAACTTTGCGTAAAGTGTTCTGCTTCTGTCACGTGATCAGCATTAGATTTTAAAAGTTGAGAAATTACTAACAAGGAAAATGTTAGAGAACACGTGATGATTGTAGCCTGCGATAATTATTGTAGTACGGGGTATAAGAAAAGTGAATACTATTATTGATATTCTGTGAGTTATCCTGGCCATAATTTATTAACTTAAACGTTTGGCAAAAGGAAATGGCATATTTAATGACGCTGGACGGCTGGAATCCTGGAAAGTATATTTATAAGTTATAAAGTATATTTATAAGTTATTCTTATAAGTAATAGCCTCTCACAATTACCCTGTTTCAACTCTTTAAGCGATTATGGTAACCTGCCACACGGAGATGGCATTCTCTTGGGAAAAGTTCAAAGCTTTAAAGAATAAATAGGGTGTGGTACTGTAGATGACCGCCTGCTCCTTTCCTAAATGAACCATAACTGAGAGCTATACTACTAGAATCTATCTGAGTTCAAAATTATGAAATAACTGAGCTTGTAAGAGAGCTACATTTCGTATTTAGTTCAACTATAACTATTATATGGTCCTTACTTATGACTTCCAGCTGGCAGACAATAGAATAGCCCCATGGATAATGCCTGCAAAACACACGCGTATAAACTAGAGTGTCTAATTTAGTAAAACCCCGATTTATCTATCGGCTTTTTCCCTTTTTCCAAAATCCGCAGTTAATCGGGGTATTACTATTACTGTATTCAACTACTATTATTCGCCACTGCCTCCCTCCCAGTTGCTGACAACGGAAATTTGACATACCATGATACCATGATACCATGCATATCAAGTAACTTGAGCTCTGGTGAGCAATACAGTGTGAGCAATATAAAGTGAGCAATATAGTGTATCGTGTGTAATTGGACCCAATTAGAGGAGCCGAGTGCTCAATTATAGCAGCATCTGGTACCACCTTCTGATACCCAGCATACAGCTGACCCAGAGAATCGAAAATATAAGGATTTTTTTATTGATCATTGATGAAAATCGAAGAGAAAACCTTGTAACCCTACGTTTTCGATGACGCTGAACAAGATTAAACTGGTTATAATTATCATACTCTCGTGTAAATTGCTTTAAAACGTAATTGAAATTGAATGATGCTATCAATTATTGTAATACAATTTGTACAATAAGCTGAGCGGGTTAACTAATGGTAAGAACTAATGGTAAGAACTAATGATAGAGAATAAGACTTTTATAAGCTCCCCGACGCGATCATACACTAGGCCAGGATAGCGTTAACCCTTTACGTTTATGTGCAGCATCTGGCATCAATTGAATCATTTTTACGCTGTTCAGAAAGAAAACCTTGACCCTAACCCTTAAATACTAATAGTGTACTGATCACGAAAAAGGACCGAGGTGATCTTTGTGTGTCACGTGCACCCATCGCCTTGCACCCACCCGATGCCTCTTACGAGGTTCTCAGATAAGCTGAAACTAATGCACGATTAAGCTCATGATTTCGGGCAGCCCATTGGTTTGTGAGAGAATCAGGTCTCACCTGTAGCACTGTAGGTTTGAATATTCATTGTTACTAGAAAATCTGGACCAGCCAAGTGGTTTGTGAAATAATCAGGTCTCATCTCCTTATAGTACAGCAGATTTGAATATATGAATATTAATTGTTTCCAGAAAACCAGGCCGGAGAACCGCACAAGAGATTCTATGCGAGTTTAATCGTTTCCTATATAACTGCGTCATTCTATTCACTACATTCGGCCTATTATGTGATCAGGACTGAGCTGTCGAGAATCTTAATCGCCTCTTCCAGAGATCCTCCAGTTAGCGTCCCTCCTATACCCCGCGAGCTATTACAATTTCTCGTGGAAGAGGCTGAAATTTGCCGAGTGCAGTAATGGAGACCGATTAGGCCCGCCTGGACAATGGGCACACAGTGCTGTTTTACTGGGCGGCGCTCAGATTCTCTATTCTAACATAATAGCCTGGGGCCCCCAGGTAAAATGCTGTTAGGAAATAGTGAACTGAGATTTACACAGATTCACAGAATATGGTTTTTGCGAAGACGGTAAATTCTCTATGTATATATGGATAACTAGATGTAAGACACAAGGTAATGTTAACTTCAGATGTAAGACACAAGGTAATGTTAACTCCAGATGTAAGACACAAGTTAATGTTAACTCCAGATGTAAGACACAAGCTAATGTTAACTCCAGATGTAAGACACAACCTATAAATGTTAACTCCAGACGTAAGACACAAGCTAATGTTAACTTTAGATATAAGACACAAGCTAATGTTAACTCCAGATGCCAAGTAAAAGGTAAGATTAACTTTAAACTTTAGGCAGAAGGTAATGAGATAGCTCTACAAAAAATTGTACACAAAATAGAACGGACAATCATAAGTTCTGCCATGGCTAATTAGTCTATCTAAAAAAACATAGTTTAACGATCATAAGTAATGCACAGTGCACAACGGAAGGGGACCATTCTCATAACAGGTGCGTCAATCTACCCGTAAGTAGACCTAACACAATCCTAAAATACCGTTAGTTCATCCTAAAACCACTATAAGTATAAAGACTTGAAATGACACTTATAAGAGACCCGATACAATCCATTGGTATATTAGTAATCCTTCTCGATATTGGTTGTTATCCGTATTCGTTTGAATCTCAGCAAATATTTGAATAAATTTCTTTCGTGTTCTCAACTTGAGATCTTTCCTTCATAAGCCCGCTCATTGGCTGTGAACTAGAGCAAAGAGGATTCGTTATTTACAAAAACTGAGATTATGCAGATATAGCGGTGCCAGCCGTTACCTGGGGACCCCAGGCTGTAATATTCACAAACAGTGAAGCTGAGGCGGATTTGGAAAGCTGGGATGTGCGCGGCCTGCAGGAATGCCAGCCGTTAAGCAGCTCAGCTTATTGTACAAATTGTATTACAATATTGATAGCATCATTCAAATTTCAATTACGTTATTTAAAGCAATTTACACGAGAGTATGATGATTATAACTTACCAGTTTAATTATAACTAACCAGTTTAATTTTGTTCAGCGTCATCGAAAACGTAGGGTTACAAGGTTTTCTCTTCGATTTTCATCAATGATCAATAAAAAATCCTTATATTTTCGATTTTCTGGGTCAGCTGTATGCTGGGTTACAGAAGGTGGTACCAGATGTGGTCCAATTACACACGATACACTATATTATTCCATATAAGGCTTGATCAGGTAACTTGAGCTCTGGTGACGTCACAAAATATCCTAGTCGGCATACGACACGTTACGAATGTGATCACGTGCCCGAGGATTTACGAATCAGGTCACGTGATAGGACCGACTGTCACGTGACCTCAGTTATCCCGTATATGGCACAAGGAGCTGCAATTGATCAGCTCTTAATTAAAACATGACAGGCCTATAATTACCCAATTTTAAATGAACGATATCCATTCTACATAATGATGAGAGCGTAAACAGAATGCTTTCCGGAATCAGCACAACGAAGGGAACAAGATGCTGTTGGAATTTTAATTATTTATATTCCACCCGTAGTCCCTATAACTAACCTCTGGATTCAATGGCTCAAGACAAGCATTTATTAATATTTGCCAGCTCTATTGAAATATTGAGGAACTAAGTCGCCTAGGCGACTTGACCAGAATTCAGGGACAGCTTTCACTCAATTTCATTTGATGAAACATTCGAATTGTCGTAGAAATTTCATTGCATCAAAGTTTTTTCCGGATATACTGCTTCCAGTACGTTGATGGCAACTTGTGTCACTTTCACCGACTTCACTGTTTGGTAACTGGTCAAAATTTCGGTCAAGGGGACGGCAGAAAAGCTTCTTTATTCTGATGATTTTCCGTTTATTAAAGGTTTCTTTGGGAAAAGAATTTTGAGTACCTCAATCGTGTCTTGTGCCATCCTCAGAGACCCTTAAGATAACGATGGAATTGAAGAAAAATTCAGTAAAAACAGTGAAATTTGGGTCGCAGAGAGCTGAAATTCGAATATGTCCTACCGGTAGGACATTCACATATTCAACATTTTCATTGTATCAGAGTTTTTCAGTTTTCTCCGGATATACTGCTTCCAGTACGTTGATGTGACACTTTCACCGACCTCGCTGATTGGTCACTAGTCAAACATAATGTCTTCTTTTTTATTCCTTTATTTCAGTAGTGAAGTTGAGTGACATTGTTGAAGGATTCTTAGACTACATACAGTTTCACAAGATCCCCATTCATTATCTCATGAACGAGGTCAGTAAAGCTATACAAATATTTCAAACTAAACAGATGTTTAGTTTATGTCAGTCATAATAATGTTAACTATTTCCACATAACCATACATACTAATTACTAAACACTATCCCAGTAACTACCCCCTATAAACTATTACCAGGTACGCCAGAGTGGAGCGGTACCAGACACTATCATCATGATGGCAGTAGCTTATCAGATGGATCCTGCTTCTATTGACGTCTCCAAGTTCTCTCGGAGCTACTCCCATTAGAGTGCAGGAAACTCGGTGTTTATTGAGCTAATTGTGTACAATATTACTACTTCAGTACTTGACTCTTCTTCATATTATACACGCTATTTCTTCTGTAATTTGATCTGCAGTTTCTGCCTTGTGGGTACACTGTATAAGATCTGCGAGTGATTTGCCTCTAATAATTATCTCTCAACTGTTGCTGTATCTCAGTGTATGAGGGCCTGCGCGCATTTGTTTATAAAAGCAATGTTCATCCTTTAATTTTATTATGTTGTGTTTAACTTGTATCTTAAAATGCAAAATCATTCTGGTGTTTTAATCTCATATTTGAGCATAATCAGGCTTTATTGGGACGGCAGTGCTAACTAGGGTTTCATTTAAATTTATTATTGTTTTAAAAACTTTTCCAGACTATTTTAATTTTACCATTTATTGCTTAAATTCCATTTTGCTGTGCTGAAGCTTGATTGTCATATTAATATTATTATTCATTGTTCATAAATGTCAAATATTCAGATTCAATTTAATTTATTATTTACGTTACATATGCCTTTTTAATTCGTTCAACAAGTATAGTGATCAATTAACAAACTTTATTTGTTATGACTTGAGTCATCGACACATGCCTCATTTTAATTTTTTAAACATGCAACGACTCACCATCAATAGCTGAGAATCGTGCACATATCTCACACATCCTGGTGTAACATGTACAACTATAATGTAATAAGACAGTGCCAATGACTTAATGGCTATGATATAGACTGTAGGAACAAAATATCACATACGCTCGTAATCTAGCCTCTTAGTTTTAACACTTTGACTTTTTTGTAGTTTTTACTTCTATTCTATATTCTGTGTAGTAACGCATTCTTACTCAGCCTCACATGCCAGTCTCTTATAATTATATGGTATATGTACAGATGTGGAACACGTACGTAGTGCATTGTATCTAGATGTACAATGTATAGCGTATATGTATAGCAAAAATAGAGGGTGTAAATTATATCGAAAAGAAGAAGCAACAAGTTCAATATTTATATAAAAATCCTCGTGTTGCCAAGAGAAAGGGAATAAATATCTCATGAATTTGTTTTTATTTATTTATTTTTAAATTAACGGTTTTTAACTTTTTAAACTTTTTTATATGTAAATAAATTATGACAATTATGTTAGTTATAGAATTTGTTTGTTTTTAATGACGAAGGCTGTGAAATGTTCACAGTTCTGATAATGAGGAAATCAGAAAGAATGTTTAAAACTAGTGATGATGTTTATGTCATCATTCTTAATCTAATCTAATCTAGCGTGTATATAACAAGAATTATAATTGTACACTAACACAGTCAAGTAGTAAGAGTTTAAGTGACTGTTGAGAGCGTACTGCTCTCGCAAACCCAGTCTGATGTCGTTCTTGTTGGCGGAATTATACTAATTATACTAGTGTCCCATCTTTATGTGTGATTAAACCTTTTTCCTGTCGTTAATTTAAAGTTATGATGCCTGTATACTATACTGATACAGTGCATAGTACCTGTGACCTTTATAAATACTATAACTAATGTTATCGCTTTAATTCCAACTTTTAGTGCTATCAGTTAATGCTTTACGTTAAATTCCAGAATGGCCGCTTCAGGCGCTGCAATATCAGCACAAGCGTTAAAGGACATTATCAGCGTTCTGAAACAGAACATGTCCTGGATGACGAATAATGAGGTTGTCGAGAAGGCTCTAGATAACCTGGTTAAGACAGATACTCAAATGGATGAGGACTAGAAGAAGGCTCTGGAAAGTGTAGTTACCACTTGTCAGAAGATCAGCACAGCCAATAATTTGGCTACTAAAGCGGTGAATACCCTAGCTGGTCATGTTAAAGCACTGCTCCGGACGTTTCATGGAGTGAAGAAACTGGACTTAGATACTGTCAAGCCGGCCATTAAATTTTACATGAATAAATTGGAGGCGGAAGTTTTGCCAGATCTTAAAGCTGCTCACGATGGGGTGGAAGAAGCGGTGAAGGCTCAGATGGAAATGAAATGTCAGCTAGAAGAACTGGAAGACGGACTGGAGAGGAAGATCACAGAGCTCCACCAAGAAAAGGGAGGGGCTGAGTCAGGGGCACGTGGTGTGGCCTACGGAGGGGCTGCCGGGGCAACCGTTGGTGTAGCGGCTATCGTGGCGGCTCTGAACTTTTGGAACCCAATAGGATGGGTAGCAGCTGGAGCCGCATTGGCCGCTGGGACAGCGATAACTTTTGGAGTGGCAGCTGGAGTTGTGGAGGGTGGTCAGATACCGAAACTTAGGAAAGTTTACAATTCTACTATAGAAGAGGTGAAGAGATCGAGGGAAGGTTTAAATTCTCTTATTAAACAAACCGGAGAATTCCAAGCTCAGCTCATGGAGAAAGTGGTGTTGCTTGAAGAATCAGAAGATCTTGGTAGTCTAATTCTTGCAGGAACAGAAGGGTTGATACTGGAATTTAAAGAATCTTTGGAATCATTGGAAGCATCGTGTCGAGAATATATAAAGGGTAATGATGACCCAAGTAAACTTAAAGAATTGAAGTGGTAGCAGAATAAATAGCAGAGAGCCAAAAATTGTTCTGAATCAGATTATGTACGCTTGGACACTTGGCGGATAAAGCACAATTTTAATTTCTGATCGAGCAAGAAAAAGATCAGAACGAAGGATTACTAAAATTAGTTGTCCCGCACAACCAGTTCACAACCAGTACCACAGTACACTACCACACCCAGTACACTACCACACCCAGTACACTACCACACCCAGTACACTACCACGTTTTCAGTTTAATACTGCACAATACAACTGACCAATTAAATCACCACAACTATCATTATATTGTCATCAGAGTTTAATGTAACTTGAATTTGTATGTACTATGTTGCTGATGATGATAAAGAAATACAATATTTTATTATTTGTTATACTTATTACAATATTTGTGTCATTTTGGTTCAGAATAGGAACTAACCGGTCTATGGTTTTGGCTGCCGGACCGGAAGAAGAGGAAATTTAAGGCTGCCGGAAAATTGAGATTAATCCTTGATTGTGGGTTTTTTATTAACGGGTGATACTCGTAAAATATTTGTTTCAAATATTAGGACCGTCGACGAGTCCAACTCGGCGCGCGTCCTGCAGGTAGGTTATACTTATAAACATACAAGTTTTTTAAATTTCAAATTCAATTATAATATTAAAAGCCATGCGGGTTTGGGGTTGCGGTTCACATAACATAGCCATGTGTAGTCAGTGTAATAAGCGCCAAGCGCGAGCACAGAATTTTTTTGTCCAAATATCGTTTATATGCTTTTTAAAGTGTGCGGGGGTTACGGAAGCATCGAAATCCACCGTGTAGCAATTTTCACTCGCTTAATTTGACACTGATATTATTTTTTTTTGGTTTTGACTGTCAATGTGTAAAAACGTTTTCTTACCATCATCCGATGAGTTTTTTGGTAAAATTTTGATACCAATATTTATCTCATCAATGTGTTATGAGTCCTACACCTTCATATTATGAATTCCTGCATTGGTATGCGAGTTATTTCAAAATAAAAATTCCAGTGATCCGCGCTACGAAGAGTTCACGTTCAGATCAAAGTGTTAACGCATCGACTTTTTACATACACATAATAGATTTGGCGCGCGCGCCAGCGCTAATTCTTGCTAAAAGCATATGGTTCTTATTCTCAGCAAACAACAAAATGGCGAACCTTTTCTTTTTGCAGTACGGCTACGGTCCTTTCGGTCAGATTTCCTTGCAAAATATTCGAAAAGCTCTCTTGTTATTTTCGCAACTCTTATGGGATCCAATACTATTTGCACCAGAATTTTATTATCAGACTTTAAGCTGCAGGTTTCATGCTTATTTTTTAGCTACTAACTTCATTATCTACTTAAACCATGCTAAACTATAGTGAGGCCGGTGAGTACAAGTTCAGAGCCATAAGTTTAAGTTTAAGATTTTATCCAGCATGTATAATTATTGTATATATACTTACTGGATAAAATCTTAGATATACTACATCCGTAAAATAAGCTATTGTTTATAGCTTGTACGTAAAATAAAAAGAATGCCTTCCTAGCAGTAACAGCAGTACAGAGGTCAAACTGAAGTTTAAGTTACATGTCTAATGGAAGAGGGCATTTCTCTGCTATTTTTGTGATTTCAAAAATAAACGGCGCATTTGATTGCATTTGATTGAACTTAATTTCAATTAAAACATATGTACAGTCATTAACAGTTATATATGAAGCTCAAATCGAATATGAAGCTATAAAATCAGACCCTTAATCGAATCGAATCGAGAGATGCTTATACAGTTTAAAATTTTGAAGTTAAAATGTCTATTTTACTAGCAGTCAATATAATATTTGTTTCATACAACAAGACTTGCTGAATAGCAAGGTTGCGGCTGCTTTTTAATCATTCCATAGATGTAAGTTTTAATCAACGGTGAAAAATGTACAGTCTTTAAGTCCTCTTCATTTGTACCCCTCAAAACTGGTTAGCGTTTATGTAACATTTGTTTCTCGTAAACAATTTTATTACATCATCAGATAAGAAATATTTTTAAAACCATTACTCATAATATGTACTATGATTCGAATAAATTTATAACAAAAATACAGCAGATTTCCTTCTCAGTTAGATATCAGCAATAAAGTTTAAGTTAAAATACGTTCCCTAATCCTTTCACAAGACCTTGCGAGTTATGATATTAAAAATAATTCAAGTTGATGCCGGACTAATTAATATTCAAATAACTTATTAATATTAAAATAAAATGGGTAGGCATTTTTTGTCCTGTGAAATGTGACCTCGAAGGACGTATTTAAGATTTTTAATCCGTTGAGTATATTAAATTACGGTAGTTCGGGAGGTATCCACTTTAACTACATAAATTACCTCGGTATGTGCAAGCTTTTAAAATGTTAAGGAAAAGTGACCTTTATTCCCTTTATCAAGTGCAGTTATCCTGGATTATCATAACTGGCAACATGACGTACAATTATTATCCGTTTAATCGCTTATGTAATGGACCAAATCTAATAAATCAAAAACGATGTTTAATATGTATAATCATGTAAGATGTATGATCCGTTGAAATGGAGTTGGTCCTCCCCAAATTGGCGCCATGTCGTCTGCTTTTTTTTTATACTGTCGTGTGCTCACTCTTAAATGAGTTAGGCAAATACAGAATAAAGCGGCGAGACCGATTAAAACTTTGAACTAATTACAACACTATAACAAATTTATTATATTTATTGAGAATTATGTAATGTAACGTGATGGAAATATTTTAAATGGGCATATCCTGTCCAAACCCAGGATGTACCTACTACATGAAGAATTCGTTGTAACTTTGTTTGAAAAGCATTAATATAATATAACGGCTCGTTGCCGATAAGCGCAGATAACTGATATATATAAGTGATTGCAGTAAGATAAATTCGGATTTCCGACAGATTTATTAAGTGTGGAAATGGCCGTTACATCTCAAAATGCGAATAAATA